AACTGATCACTAGAAATGAAATTGAATTAGCAAATAAAAAAAAAAACCTCCCTACAAATGAAAGTCCAGGACCGGACAGCTTCACCAGGGAATTCCACCAAACATACAAAGAATTCATACCAGACCTTCTCAAACTCTTTCAGAAGACTGGAAAGGAGGGAATACTCCCAAACTCATTTTATGAAGCCACCATCACCCTGATACCAAAACCAGGCAAAGACACTACCAAAACCAGGCAAAGACACTACCAAAAAAGAGAATTACAATGGAATAAAGACAATCTCTTCAGCAAGTGGTGCTGGGAAAACTGGACAGCAGCATGTAAACCAATGAAGCTAGAACACTCCCTTATACCATACACAAAAATAAACTCAAAATAGATCAAAGACTTACACATAAGACAAGATACAATAAACCTCCTAGAAGAAGACAAAGGCAAAATATTATCTCACATACATCTCATCAATGTTCTCCTAGGGCAGTCTACCCAAGCAATAGAAATAAAAACAAGAATAAACAAATGGGACCTAATTAAACTTACCAGCTTTTGCACTGCAAAGAAAACCATAAGCAAAACAAAATGACAACCTACAGAATGGAAATTTTTGCAAAAGATGAAACTGACAAAGGCTTTATCTCCAGAATATATAAGCAGCTCATACGACTCAATAAAAAAAAACAAACAACCCAATCCAAAAATGGGCAGAAGACCTAAACAAACAATTCTTCAATGAAGACATACGAATGACCAACAGGCATATGAAAAAATGCTCAATATCACTAATTATCAGAGAAATGCAAATCAAAACTACAATGAGGTATCACCTCACACCAATCAGAATGGCCATTATTCAAAAGTCCACAAATGATAAACGCTGGAGAGGCTGTGGAGAAAGGGGAACCCTCCTACACTGCTGGTGGGAATGCAGTTTGGTGCAGCCACTGTGGAAGACAGTATGGAGATTCCTCAAAAGACTAGGAATAGATTTACCATAGGACCCAGTAATCCTGCTCCTGGCATATATCCAGAAGGAACCCTATTTCAAAATGACACCTGCACCCCAATGTTCATAGCAGCAGTATTTACAATAGCCAAGACATGGAAACAGCCTAAATGTCCATCAACAGATGACCGGATAAAGAAGATGTGGTAATATTCATACAATGGAATACTACTCAGCCATAAAAATGACAACATAACGCCATTTGCAGCAACATAGATGTCCCTGGGGAATGTCATTCTAAGTGAAGCAAGTAAGAAAGAAAAAGGAAAGTACCATATAAGATCGCTTATATGTGGAAACAAGAAAAGAAAAGAAAAGAAAAGAAAAGAAAAGAAAAGAAAAGAAAAGAAAAGAAAAGAAAAGGAAAGGAAAGAAAAGAAAAGAAAAGAAAAGAAAAGAAAAAGACAAATGAACACAAATACAAAACAGAAACAGACTCATAGACATAAGAATACAAACCTGTAGTTGCCAGTAGGGAGGGGGATGGGAAGGGACATACTGGAAGTTTGAAATCTGTAGATACTGACAGGTATATATAGAATAGATAAACAAGAATATACTGTATAGCACAGAGAAATACATGCAAGATCTTGTGGTAGCTCATGGTGAAAGAGAATGTGAAAAATAATACATGTATGTTCACGTATAACTGAAAAATTGTGCTCTACACTGGAAATTAACACAACATTGTAAACTGACTATAACTCAATAAAATAAAATTTAAAAAAAAGCGTAAGTTCTTAAGATTATTTGTAAACTTACCTCCAACACTCAGTTGGAGAGAAAGAACTAATCTACTCTCCTGAAATTAAAAATAAAACTGTAGGGATAATGTAAGTCAGGAAATTCCCCTCTTTCTGGGAAAAGAAAGGTAAAGCTACTCCAAAGTATCTATAAAATTCCTTCTCTTTGCTACTTTTCCTTAGGTAAGGTAAGACTAAGATAATAATATTTAGGAAGAACTTATATTTCACTATGGAAGAAATCATCAAATAGGATTCTCAAAACTGAGAACAAATAAGGACAAATTCCCAAGAGGGTTTTGGTATCAATTTAAAGCTCAGAGTGTAATTGTACCTAAGATTTATAATTAAATAATCAAGTTAAGAAAAATATCAAACTTTAAAACCCAAGCATTTTGTTAAAATAAAAACATCTATTTAGTGTCTCTTACATTTAATAAATGTGTTCAATTTTTTAATGGGTGGAAAAATTATATTCTTCAAAAAAGCACAAACATGATTACAAACATCTTTAAGAAAATAGTAAAATACCATGCCACCTAGTGGCATAATAACAAAAGTGCAGAATCTGTTTTTCTACTATGTAAACATACTAAAGACAAGCCCATTTCACTACTACTTTTTAAGTAATACTAATAATGCTATAAAAATTATGACTGGAGTATTATGACTCTAAAAACTTTAAACATATATTTTAAAAAACTGGTGCCAATTTATATTAATAGGCTGCCATATTCTCATAAGTATAACCAGGTTAATAACTTCTAAGATCCCTGGAATCCCCAATTTCAGGGAGTTCCTTCTTTAAGTCTCTCTCTCTCCAGAAAATACCAAAAATTTCACAGGAACTTTGGGTTAAGAAAGAAGAGTAACAGAAGCATGAGACAGTACTGGGCTGAATTTGAAATCAGACAAAGAGAAGTTCAAAGGGTTCAAGATGTGGAGGACGACCCACAGCACATGAAAGACAAAGACAACTCCAACAGGGGTCACAAACTCAAAAACTTTCTGGCCTCAGGGAGGTAACATAAGTAATCTGAATAAAGCCGTCAAATTGGTAGCTAAAGATGTCTGGGATAAAAATGGAAAGAAGTAGGGGAGTACGGCCACAGCTTAAGAAGTCAGAGGGAAGACTTAACACCTGAAGAAAGCCCCCAGAGCTACCTCGCCTCACCCTAGGAAAGGGCAAGACTAAGAATCTCCGGGGATGGCACAGGGGACAGATGCGTGGGTGGATCTAATCACTCAGGGGACTAGTAGAGAAGGGAATATCAAAGATTATGCCTGGATGCAAACAGTCTGGCCAAGAAGTCTATTCCTTACTACCTTTGGATTATGAGTCCACTTTTATTCTTCGTCTTTAACACTTACTTTGTATGGCCCATCTGTGCAGCTGCATGAATAGGTAACTGCCAACTGTCCTCATTACAGTAAAGATCAGGATCTGCCCCACTGGACAGCAAAAGCTCCACACATTCTGTGTGGCCCTCTTGAGCAGCAATGAACAAGGGAGTAGCTTTGTCCAAGGCTTGACAATTGACATTTGCACCTAAAATAAAATATTTAACAGATAACCCTCATTTATGCAAAAAAACAAACAAAACCATGGTTATTAACATAAATTTCAAAGCAGGTGCCTTAAAAGGGTTTCACAGTACAAGAGTTTTTCCCCTTTGATGGATACTGATGTTGAAACATACTAATTTTCATAACTTATTGGTAGTCATTTAAATTGGTTCTGCTTTTATATTAGCAAGAAAGTAAGTGATTAATATTTTGGAATTCATTTTTAAGCTAAAATAAAAATCTTACTCAATGAAGGATTCATTTCATTCCAATCCCTCCTCCAACAAGCACTCTGAGGTCATGTAAATCATCAGTCATTTAAAAAAGGAAAAGCACAAGCCATCAAATATGGATAACATTTCTGATAATTACTGAAAGGATAAGAAAAAGCCTATATTATGAGACTTCATAGATGCACTAATTGATTCAGATTCAGGCTAAGAATTGTAAAAAAAAAAAAAAACATTCAGCAGACATGACATACATGGCAGCTGTGCCTTAAAACTAATGTTCACTATACTCTTCATTACATCAGTTTTCTTCATGACAGAGCCTACAATAAACAGAAAAAGGCCTATTTAAATGGGTTTCTAAGCTGATTTTTTAAGCATAAATCTAATCAATTATTTAGATGCTAATGTATAAAGATGTGAAAAAGTTTAAAGTGACCTCAAGTTTTGCAAAGGTTTCAAAAACAGAATTTCCCAAACTTTTCTCATTGACAAAATAACATGTTAAGTATGTTAAGTATGTGTTAACACACTACCATGAAAATTTTTAAATTTCTGCAATACATCTCAGTGTTAAAATCAACATCATTAAGGGAGAAAAGATTATTCTTTATTTAAGAGGATGTTTCATAAATACACTTTGAATAAACCAAAGCCCTGAGATGGGTAAAAACTGTGCAAAACACCAATTGTAAGTTGCAGTTTATGGAACGGTCAGAAATTCCAACTGAATATTCAACAAGTCTAGATATATAGAATCTTCTTGACTTGTACAAGGTAGATGCTTCACCTACTATCAGCCTCACTACACAGTAACTGAGGAAAGACTAAGTGACGAAAGAAACCTACTTAACTTTCTTTTTTAAACAATGTTCTATTTTGATTGACAATTTCAATGTATCAGAAAGAATAAGGAACCAGTTTCTGTAAGACTACAGGTAGGAAAGTTGGGAAAATGACAGATAATTCACTAAAAGGAAAGTCATTTTAAAAAGTTAGAAACATGTATAGTTACATTATAAACGTACCTACATACCTTTTCAACTTGTTGTTCATAACTATTCAGAGAGGAAAGGAGGAGGGGAAAAAAAAGAACAAAGCAAAACAAAACAGGTGCTTAGGGTTCCAGGAGACAGGATCAGCATGAGGAGTCATTAGAGTGCAGTTTAACCTATTTAACCTAAATGTTACTAATCTAAGTATTAGTTACATACAAACTATTGGGACTAGAAGTCATAAATGTATCAGGATAGTTCTCAGGAAGGTACAACGCAAAAGAAGGAAGATGAGAAATCAGAAGTCCTGGATCCAAGCTCTGATTCTGCCAGGAAATACTTTCTAGATCTTTGGCAAGGCACTTAAACGCTCAAGGCTGGGATTCTAATTACACACACACACACACACACACATGCTTGAATGATTCTGGAGATTCTCTCAATGCTCAGATTTATAGACTCAGTATCTGTAACAGGTATCTTAATTTAACACTTAATGAGTACTTGTTTCTTTTGCTTCCTATTTGAACTTAAGAATTTGAAGGTTTGTAAAGAGAAAGTAGGAATAAGAAAATATGTACTCTGCTGTCTAAATGAACTTTGTTTTGTGTATTTGGAGGTAATTTATTAAAAGTTTAGGAATTATAGAAGATATCTGAGAAGCCTAGGTAGTAAAAAAATATTGCATGATGGCATATCTGGTCTATTTCCCATCTGCCTTGACTATCCATGTTTTGTCACATTAGCACGTTAGCACATACACAGTGTTTGGAAGAACTGAAAAGCCCTTGCATTCCAAATGTTTCTGGTCACAGAAAAGTCACAGAGAATAAGAATGCCACCTCAGCACCACCTTCTCTGACAATGCTGAATATGTAATAGTTGTTACCAAGAAACCTTTAGCAGGTTTATATTGCTATTAACATTAATATACTGTAAACATGCTTTGAAATAAACCCACTTAAATATCACATAATTGATCAAAACATACAACTCAAAGGGTTAATACACAAAATAACTAACTGAAAAATTAATTAGGCCTGTACGAGTCTTTTACCATGGGAAGCTGGAAATGGTCAGGTTCCTATAGGAAAGGACAGCCCCATCATTCATCTTGCCAATAAACCTGCTGGAGTGATATATCATTATGGTCCTACTCAGATAAATTAGTAGCTGTGTATTGCGTTATGTTGGTAATAGAGACTTAGCAACCAGGCTTATAAAATGCACTTGTATATATATATCTTATTTACCTCTAATATAAAATCATAAATTTCAGAACCTGATTTATATCTGATCAAGAATTATTCTTCCTAGAGAGATACAAAGTTAAAACTCATGATCTTAAACAACGCAGAGGCTAATGGATTATTCTTACCGGATGAAATAAGTATGCTCAAGCTTTCTAGCTTGCCATACTGAGCAGCCACAAACAAAGGTGTGATTCCAAAGTCATCCTGGCATTCCTTGTTTGCTCCTTTTTTAAGAAGCAATTTTATGATCTCAGCATTTTCCTAAGGCACAGATTCATATTTTAAATAAGAGAAAACAAAGAAAATAGAAGATACTGCTTTTCTTACTGCTTTGTGTCTGTGTTTTATCCTCACTCTTTTTTAAGAGTATTGGTAGATGGGAAGAAAGAGTTAATCAGATTATTCTGTACCTTTAGCTAGCCCATTAAACATAAACAGATGAAACATTGATCTCTAGGATTCTTAAAAAATCCTACAAAATTTTGCAAGCCCAAGCACTAAAGTGTTATCACAGTTTCTAAACATGCTGCTATTAAAAAAAAAAATAAGCCATTGCTCGTTATCAATTTATATCCCAGATATTCTGATGGTCTCTTAACTATGTTATCAACATTTGAAAAACTTAGATAATCCCTGCAGCCCCAAACTGCTAGAACTACTAGAGCAGTGGGCTTATTCAGAATGATCATTAGCATTTAGACTGCCTTTTCTGTACTGCACTAACCATCATAAATCACAGGCAAGCAGGAAGCAAAAACTGTACAGAACTGTCATTTTAAAAGGGTAAAACACACAATTTACATGGAAATGAAATAATAAATTCAGAGGTTACCTGAAAAGTAGCCTGGTGCAAGGCGTTCCATCCACACATAGAATGGGATCCATTAACATTTGCTCCATATCGAAGCAACAGCCTTAACACATCTATCTGTCCATTTTCAACAGCTGCAATACAGCAGTCAAAAAAATTACTGTCAGTAAAGACGCATGTTTGTAGGACTGGGCACTTTGGTGATGTTTTCATCACTTATTCACCTCAGAACTCACAATGCTGTGATCATTCCTATCAACAAATCAAAACTTCTTATGCAATGCCAAAACATTTATCGCAATTGTCTTAGCCCAAATCCATTGACATCTACATTCTTTCTGTACACATAAAAAATTATTTTCAATTACTTCTTAAAAGATACAGACGAAATGGAAGCAAGAGGCAAACATTTATACTCTGATAATGGAGACAATATGTTTCTATTTTGTTAAAAAATGCAACTGGTAGGGCGATGGGATGAACAGGTCAGAAGAAATAGCACCAATCTGGACAAAGAGTCTCAAAAGAACTGAAAGGCTTGCTACTATTACTATCTGATCACAAATGACAATAGTCACTGACAAGCAAACTAAAAGCAGTATACTCCAAGTCTGCATCTTAGATTTTTTTTTACCATCATAATCAACAATCTTTGTTAAAATGATGTTCTAGTATCAACTAGTGAAAATATAGTAAAACTTTGCTTATTTGAACTAAAAGGGGACTCCAGATAAATTTGAGAGTGTTGTTAAAGAAATGCATATTCCTTAACCATAGTAACTGAAACTAATGACTTCCAAGTTGCTGCTAAAGTAGATCCTTTGAAGAAATAGTTGCATGCCTACAGAGGCCTAAAAATTGTGTCCTCTTTTACTGATTTCATCAAATTATGCTTTTTTTTCCCCCCCATAAATCTAATTTAACATTAGCACAAGATATGGATAGTTGTGAAAGATATGTGTAAAAGTGAAAGCTGAACATTTTGTTTTGATTATTATATACACTATAGAAGTCAGACAAAAAAATGATTTCCACTATTAATATCATAAATATTGAGACCTGATTTCTGCATCTCTAATAAAAAATGCAAATAGCATTTTTATAGCTCTTGCTAATTATATCAAAATAAAGCAAATTTAATGGTTAATAATTAAGAAATAGTGGTTTAGAAAAGTGTAGTTAGAGCTTTTATCTACTACCAAAGCCTCTCCTTTGGAAGAGTTGGACTGACTTCTTCATCCTTATATAAAAAGTTACCAAAGTCACAGAGCTAATGCCTACCAGGTTGGAACTCAGGCTTCCTGTCTGTTGGTCAGGACCCCCTCAACTACACCTGGTAACATTAAGAATAGGAATCAGCAAACTGTTTCTGTAAAGGGCCAGAAAATAAATACAGATGGTCCTCAACTTAAGATGGTTTGACTTAACAATTTTTCAACTTTAAAATGGTGCAAAAGGATACACATTGAGTAGAAACTGTATTTCAAATTTTGAATTTTGACCTTTTCCTGGGCTGGCAGTATGATCATCTCTCATGATGCAGGGCAGTGGCACCCAACTACAGCTCCCAGTCAGCCATACAATCATGAGGATAAACAATTGATACACTTAGAACCATTCTGTACCCATTCAACCATTGTGCTTTTCACTTTCTGTATAGTTTAAATAAATAACGTGAGATACTCAACATTTATTACAAAACAGGCTTTGTGTTAGATGATTGTGCCCAACTGTAGGCTACTGTAAGTGTTCTAAGCACATTTAAGGTAGACTAGCTTAAGTTATGATGGTTTGGTTAGATGTATTATGTGCATTTTCAACTTACAGTATTTTCAACTTACAACGGGTTTATTGGGATGTAACCCCATCCTAAGTTGAGGAAGATCTGTACTCTATCACATCTAGCTTCTCTGGTTCAGCGTTATGTTTGTAAGATTTATCAATATCACTTCCTCTAGTTGTAGATCATTCATTTTCATTGCTGTATAGTATTCCATTGTGTAAATCGAACACAATTTATTTACCCACTCTATTGTTGGCAGAAACATTTTAGATAGCTTCCTGTTTGAGGCTGTTACAGAGTGCTACAATGAGAGTACTTGACTACATGTCTTTTAGTGAACACTGATACATATTAATGTTGAATATATGCCTAGGAATGAAATTGCTGGGATACTGAGTATGCACCTACTCAGCTTTAGTAAATTCTTTCAAATAGTTTCTCAAAGTGGCTATACTAATTCACACTCTCACAAGCAATCCATCTTCTGGTTGCTCCACATCCTCACAAACACTTGGTATTTTCAATCTTCTTTTTAGCCACTCTGGCAGGTATGTAGTTTACTCTTACTTTAATCATCAGTAACTCCAAGTTCTCTTTGAAACTAGTTGAGATATAAATAAACAAAATATAACACTGTCTTTAACCTGAGTTCCTTTGGGACTCACTAGCCTGGAGGTACAAGTGAAGTCATGTTAACCATTAACTAAAATTTCAAATCCTGACATTGGGTTACAAAAGAAACAACTTGATAAAAGCTATAGCTCACTGATGGTACACAGTATACTATATTATGTTCTCTACTCTCATATATATTTTAAGTGTTACACAATAATGTTTTTGTTTTTTTCACCAATTCACAGCCCCACTTGCTTAATATGGAAGCTGCATCTCCTGACAAATTCTACTGCACCAAGAATTTCTGCTCCCCTAAATAATCCTGTCATCTTCTGCTCTGAGACACGTCCCTGATGCCCTCAACTATAAAAGCCACTTGAGGGTTATAACTGGCACAGGCATAATAACAATTATGTCACCCAGGCTATAGATGCCTTCTATCTCCCAATTTGAAATATGCAAGATGCCAAAGTGATGCTGCTTTCCCTGCAGTGCCCACTGTACAGGTAACATGCTACATCTGAGCAGCAGTGGAGAGGATGCCCTGTTCCCTAACCTGCAACAGGCTCTGTCATGAGGCCTCCTACAGAGCAGGGCTGCTTATATCCCTGTGTCTCTTAGAGTCGCTCTGGAAGCAGACCCTTCAGCTTCTGCCTTCAGCTCCTCTCAAACTGGCTCAAACATGAATCTGCAGCTGCAACACCAGGCTGTTCTTCCACTCATCTCCCAGAAGCCCCTCTACCACCCAATCACTCAAATAAAAATCTCCACCTCAAAAACATTAATTTTACCCCGGAATTTGCCACTTACAAGTTCATGACACAATTGCTCAGGTTATCTCAGATATATGTGAATTACAGTTCAGGATCAAGGTGGTACCCTAACTGTGATGGAAAGGACAGAAATTGTGTAGTCAGACACTCTGTTCAGCTGTGAGCAAGTTATTCCCTCAACCTCATTTACACTTACAAAATGAGGGCAATCTACTTACCTATGGGCTTTTATGTTGATTGAATAATTAATGGAAGTAAATATAGTAGGTGCTCAATAAATGTTCCTTCTTTCCCTCCCTCAATCCCCCTTATCCCCATCCCTGATATACAACTGGGGTCAACTTCTTTTTGTAATAAACTTCACTGAGAGGATACTTTAGCTTTTCAATCATGAGAGGTTAGGCCATAATCACAATTCCCTCAAGACCAATACAGTCCTCCAACTAAACTTCTCACATTGGTCACCTTCAGCCCCTGCACCCTACGGACAGCCTCTTCCCTTTGCAGGATCAATCCTTTTGTCCAACAACCCAATTAACTGCAACTGTTATCCAGCACTACAAGAACTGCATATCCAGGTTCCCTTCAAAGTCAGAGTCCAGACCCTCAGGTTTCCCGAATTTATTGTCCAATGTATTTCCTCCATGATAATGATCTATGAATGGTTTTATTAGTTTAAATAAACATGTATGTTTATCTTTCCTCCTCACATACTGATCATGTCTTACAAACAAATACACTATTTCCCATTCCCATAAAAGGAATCTAAAGCCCATAATCCTCTATCTTTCCATGGCCACTACCGGTATGAACAGTCATTCACTTGCCAGATTTTTCTCTCTTCCAAAAAACAGAACTGGATCTGCAGGTAGGCAGAAGCTGTTAACACAGAAACTTTATGCTTTCTTGTCCTTCCACTTGTACTTGTACTTCCTGTACAAGTTTTCACAGACCCTAAAGAGAGTTACTTAGACTGTTTAGAGCTTAGAACTCTGACAATCACCTAATCCACTGAGAATAATGAGGGAAATTCAACTATAATTTCTACTATCCCACTGATAAGCAGAGCTGATTGGTGTTTCTTTGCTGGTGTTTCTTTGTTCCCTCAAATTCTCTACATAGGACCTACCTAGTACTGCATGCTATGGCAAAGGAGACTAACACTTTAAACCAAAGAGGACTACCGCTCAGTTAAGAATGTATGAAGAGCTGCACTCTCCAACACAGAAGCCAGTAGCCATGAGTGGCTCTTTAATTAACTTAACTTACATTAAATTAAATTAAAATTTGAGTACCTCAATCAAACTAGCTTCATCTGACGTGCTCAAGAGTCACACTTGACTAGTGACCTTCATACTGGACAGTATAGACATAAGACATTTCCAAGTTCTACTGAATAGTTCTGGTTTAGAGTTTAGAATTTAACTGAATAGGAACTTAACCTAGAATACCAGGCATATCTATCTCCAAGATACATGCCTCTCAATGAGGACAGGGAGCCAGACCATTAGTTGTGTCTCCTATGGCTTGGGGCAGGTGTTCCAAGGAGAGAAAGGAAATGAGTAATTCTAGAACCTGGAAAAGTACTGTAGACTCCCAGAGAGAAAAAGAAAGCAGAATCACAGGATCTGGTATTACACTGGCATCCACTAGAGACCAGAGCCCCAGGATAAAGAACAAGGATGAAATAAAACACTTCACTTTGGAAGAAAGAGCTCAAAGTGCTGGGGCACACAGAGAGAGGGGAGAAAGGTTTTCCTCCCTTCAATCCAAATAGGTATTACCTACAAGACTCCAGCTAAGATAGTAGGAAAGAAAAACCAGAAGCTCTGATGGTAGGGACACTGCCCCTCCCACAACAGGTCAGATTATTGTACTGAAGAAGCATAAAAGCAAAAGTATAAGATAGCAACAATGACACGAGAATATCATTTCCCGCAATAACTTCTAGGGAGATATTTAT